GAAAGTTGATGTCTTACAGTCTCTCTGATGCTTGTGGTAACTTTATGTGGATTCCTGAAGGTTTACAGTGGCAAACCTTTGTCATAATACAAAGTGTTGGCGCTGAACAGATGCCTTGTGTGTGTAGTGCAACTTTACAAAAGTGTAAATTTAAATCCTAATAACTGTCAAAAAGCAGGCAGCTTCAGGTGTAAATCTGTGCAGAGTTGAGTAAGAGTTTCAGATAAGAAATCATAGAAGATAAAAGACTCTGGGAAATTCCTGTAAAACTGAAACAGTGTTGACACATTTGTACAGTAGTTTGTCTGCCTTTGGTTGCTAGCTCTATATTTTCCATTAGTACTGTGATGCCGGTCATTAAGTTGATGACTTATATAGAGCTGTGGGTTCTGTGGTAAAAGAAAGATCTGATGTCTTTCATACAACCTTGTTTGCTAAAGAGAGCATGCACATAGCTTGGACCTGGCCCAGTGAAGTGGCCAGGTTATCACTTCGGCTATACAAGCTTTACTTTGGCTGTTATTAAAGCCCCTGAATTTTTATACAGTCAAGAAACTTTTCCCATGCAAATCCATTGTTTATAAGTAGGGTGTAGCCTGCATTCCTGTGCTGTCCTCCTGTGTGGACATGAGTATTCTGAAAAAATACACAGACTGATGGGCTACAGGTCAGCTTTTGCCTTTGAGGCAGCTTTCTGTCCGGCTCTTGTCTTGGAATGAATCAGTGAGTCAGTGCTCCCCATGGATTAGTCTGACAGGTATTCTTTTCCCATAATAAGCCTGTTTCCTATTGCTTATCCATGTATATAATGACATCAGTGGACTGTGAGTAACAATGACATAATGACATTTGATTGGATTGTCTTCAGGTGCTTTAGTTGACTCACCTTTATTAAAAAAGTTATACTAAAGTAAAATACCAGACACTGAGAATATAAGTTAATTCTATTAAACTACAGTGAGTAATTTCCACCCCAGAAAAATTGTACTGTAGCCCAATAAAAAAAAAAAAAAAGATTGATAGCATAGCATTGATTACGAAAAAAATATTCACACATTGTATATCTGTCACACCTCCTCACTCGTGTTGCAATTGAGGAAATATAAAAACTGCATAGCATAGAGGTCTAAACTGTTTGCTTAGAGTAATACGTACATGCCTAAAATATATAGATAAAACAAATGGACAGTTAAAATAGTTAGCTAAAAGTAATCTATAAATAATATAAATATAAACATTGACAGATTAATTTTATGAATACAAGTATTTAAGTAATAGTGTTAAATAACATCCACCAGGGTGGTGTTGATGATGGGGCTGTGGGTGGTGCAGTAGACAAAAAAGGTTGGGAACCACTGAACTACAAGATATATGACAGATAAAAAGGGCGAAAAGTTTCCTCACACATTTAAAACTGTCTTTGAACTGTCTTGGCTGTTTCAACTTCTGCATTTGTAGTATATTGCATTTGTTAGTAGGTCTAGAACAGTTATTATGTAATCTAAAGTAACTGCTTATAATCATTGGCGGTCTTTGCAGAGAAGTAAATATTTAAAAGTCGGGAGTAGTAGTAAGTGGAAATGATGGAACTAAATCTGATACTGTTTGAGTTCAAAGGGGATGTCTGGCCGTTAAACCCATTTAAAGTTTGTTTTTTGTTTTTTTCATCGCCCTTACCCATCGTCGTCTCTCAAGAGAGTTTTGGATATTTGCCAGGCTTATGAGTAACATTTCCTGAATAATCAAGCATTATGAAGAAGGATATGGGGCACGGTCAGGAAGTGACATACTTGGCCTTTGTTGAGACAGATCTTCCTCTCGTAGCCAGTAACAACTCCCAATGGGCAACAAAGGGTCAGAGAACACTCTAGTGACTGGAAACCGAGGACTCAGTTTGTTTACATGCCCTAGAGGAGCAGAAATAATATTGCCAGTATGAATTAGCAGGTAGGACTGGTATAACTGCATACTGAGGGGAGACAGATGCGCTGTCGTCAGTAAAAACAAAAGCCATGCGTATGCTCAGATATTTTTCTTACATTCTGTCCATCAACAAATCAATTGTGATAAATGTGACACTGAGCTCCTTTAGGACAACCACCAAAAAAAGCTCACTTATCCATGTCAATCTAATGCAAATGGAAGTTGATGTGTTTTTCCCCCTCCAAAACCACCTTTCCAATCATGTACTGAATCAGAACTAGCACATTACATCTTATTCAGAGCCCTCCTCGTGTGTTTTGGTGCTGCACATATCTACTTGCTCCACTGGGTATTTCTGAAGAAATAACCATAAATAGGTAAAGACACCTTGGGGTTGTTTTGGCAGTGTAAAATGCCTACCAAAACAAATATTCTTGGTTTGCGTTCACATTTGCTGATAGGAGTAATGATTTTTAAAGTATGACTCACATCTGTGTGTTCAGTCCCCCTTGTTGCTTAAAATAACACAAGCAGCTTCCAAACAAAGCAGTCTCGATGTTCTGGGTCTCCACGGACGAGCTTTAGCGTACTGTTTAGCACTCCTTTTATAGGTAGTGACCTAGGTGAATTATGTAAGCGTGTGCATAGGCCTGAAATCAACATCCAAACTCAGGATCTTTTTTGCCTTCATAAGGCAATTTTCGGGCTTTTGAGTGACATTCAGTTTAAACTCCAACTCTTAAGATTGATCAAGGTGCATCGCAATGTACTGCTGCCTCAGCCTAGACATGGTTTGGTATTTTGTGCCATGACTATTTCATGGACTTCATAAACAGAACAAGCCTCATCTTGAAATGCTCATCTTTTTAACTAGAGCTGCAATGATAAGTCACTTAATTGATTAGTTTTCCACTATTAATTGCCAACTATTTTGATAATCAATTAATTGTTTTGAGTAATTATTCCCTATTAGTTCCCTTAGTCCTCCTTGCATTGTGAACAAAGGACGACCTTGACCTTGGACTTGGGAAAACAATGATCAACATTTTTTTGTTGTTGTTTTTACAGATTTCTGACATTTTATGGAACAAACAACTAAACGATTGATTGAGAAAATGATCGACAGACAACCATTAGTTGCAGTCTCATTTTTAACCCTAGAGCAGAACTTCAGCTCTTTAACACCCTTTTCTTATTGCGTTGTGAAGCTCTTGAATGCTCGAGTCTGGCTAGTAGTGGATTTACCACTACCAATTGATTATGCCTGCATATTTAATGGGCCATTTGGTTTTCATATTGTGCAATAAATTCCATTTTAAAAAGCTCTAGCCTCATCTGATCCTGGTTCCTAGAATATGTGCTAGTTTCTTTTCTGGCTAAGTTTAATACTCTATGGATGCTCGTCGCTGAACCAACTGGAATAGAAGTGCTGATTTGTTAATTTAACAAACAGATGGATTTTTCCTACAATTTTTCCTTTAGAGCATACATTTCCTAGAGTGTAGGTGTCTTGGACATCTCCAGCCTCATAACAAGAAGCAGACAACATGTAATCGTCCAACAGTTACAGTTTATGGGTAGGCTACATTTAAATGTACACATGGGAGGCACTGTTTAGCCTTGCACTGTTATGTTAGGTGGAGGAGGCATAGGAGAGGTCAAGGTGAAGACTGACACACATACACATATCTCCCAACATATACACTGATTTCCTGTGTAATATTCAAAGCCATATATTTTTAAGGGGGCCAAGAGTCCTGATTCTGGGTTGGTTTTATAGCCCAGCAGGTGGTCAGGGGTCAGAGAGGGTACACTTGAGATTTGTTCAAGCTTGTCATCATTACAGAAAAAGGCTCTTGGAGTCAGCTCATTTATTCCACCTTACGACCACACTCACCTCTCTTTTCCCTCTTGCCTTGACCCATTGCTCCCTTTCTGTCTTTCTTCTTAATGCTCTCATTACTAACATTGTCCAGACACAGCGCTCACGTTTATATTTTTCCCATACCCCTGTTCCTGGCCATAAATTTGAGCACCAATGTGCTGAATTAACTCATGCCCTATGATTTGAGGGATATCAGGGGGCTACTTGAAACCTCTGCCCCTCTCTAATATAAATATACCTGCTTTTATTCAACTTTCTATTCTCCTTGGCTCCCCAAAACATTGTAAGCACATTTGTGCTTTGAGAAATGTCTGTGGAAAAGCCCCTGTGCTGGGAGTGGAGCAATCAGAAACCATGCACACATAATGTTTATTGCTGTTGTCAGCTGGCGATGCATTTAAGTGAGCGCCGTTCTCAAACCTCTGCGTCTGAGCCATGTGTGGTTTGCTGCTCTGTGAAAACTTAATGGAACAAAATGAGCTCAACACAAGCTCCTAATTTTTTACCTCCTAAATTTAACTCACTCTGTATTGAAAAGTCAAAGGATATTAAATTGTGAACCTTTTTATTGTGCTAGATGTGAAAAGGAGATGTTAAACAGATAATCCTTACCAGGACCACAAGAGGCTGAAGCCTGATCCAGCATGCATTGCTTGAGAGGCTGTGTACACCGTGAATAGGTTGCACATCTATACCACATGTAGACAGACAAACACATTCACACTTCAGGGCAATTTAGAGTTTCTCATACATTGTGTTTATAGTAAATACAGACTCATTATGGGGTGGGATAATGTTCAAGAGGTGATTAGCTCTGGCTCAAAGACTCAGCTTTGTAAGGAATAAAATGGGATGAAGATGTTATGTGATGTGTGATTCCCACTTTCCTCTCCCTTTCCCCTCCCTCTTTCCAACTGGCTCCAAGTGAGTCGATGGAATAGAGGTTATATGAGAGTCTCACTGCGGTGGTCGGCTGTCTTTGTGCAGAGTTGGCTGACATCATTCTCACAGGGGGGGGCGGGGGTGTTAGCTGGGGCAGGGCAGGGCCGGGCTTGGAGGTCTACAGCTGAGCTAGTTTCCTGTGAAAGCTGGAGAAGTATATATCTTGGTTTTACACAGTTTTTAAGTGCCTGTCATCTGAAATTGTCCTCAATCGTGATGCACTAATGATGTCTTCCTTTCTTGTTTGCAGCACTGGGATGATTTTGATGGAGTGAGACATTGCTGTCAAGGGAAATCTACAAGAAAGCTGACATCTAGGTTAGGACAATTGAAGTAGCAACTTGGAATCTTCTCACCTGCATTCGAACCCTGAACTGAATTGAACTGCATAATGGATGGAATAGACACCTTGCAGAGCTCAGCCCCAGAGACCAAGGCTGAGAGAATTGCTCGCTATAAGGCAGAGAGGAGAAGGGAGCTTGCAGAGCGCTATGGCAACACAGATGAATTCACCTCCAAATATGTCCGCAGGGACAGGAAAATTGTCGACACAACCGAAACAGTGTCTTCAGAAGCCAAGGAGAAGGAAAAATGTGAGGATAATGGATCAGAGCAAACCTATACCAGGAGGGGCCTCAGAAATAAAGTTGCAGAACCCGCTGATGAGCCTGCCCAGGAAAAAGAGGGTACTACTCAGACAGACACAATTTTGTCCTCTAAATCAGAAGCTGTCTCCTCCATTAAGATGCCCTCTCACTTCAGGTAAGTTTATTCACATTGTCACGAGATAAAGATAAAGCACACCTCTGTTGCCTGTTGTTTGTGCAAGACCAGTCAGAGTGTTGTGACAGAAACTTGGCCAGAGACATGAACCACAAAGCTGCCCAGGCATAGAGACTCAGAGGGCTGGTGCAATTGGAGCCCAGGCAAACATCTCAGGAAAAACATTTATTATTTAGATATTCTTATATGTATCTCAGTTTGGACTCTAGTAATAGTACCGGCAGAGTGCTGAGTAGCCATTCAGTCTATACACAAGCGACTTACAAGGAAATCTTCTTAAACCTGGAGCCTAATGTTCAGATCACTACTAACAGTATAAAAAGTATAGGGGTTCTTTTCTGTGACATCCCTTGATTTAGAGAACTTGTGCAGTTTAGCTAGTAAAGATGACTATTAGATTACTGTAGAAAAGGCTTGCTGGCTCCTAATGAGTGAAGAGGAGGCAACAAGTCGGCACATTTAGAGAACACTTAGTGCTATCTTTGTTTGAAGTAAACATGGCTGCTAACATTTCCAAAATTGGCCATGTGTGCAAGCAGAGGACTGCCTCATTTATTTTGCCATGGTATGTTCTGCACTGATGACATGCAAGCAGCTTGTTTTGGTTCACTTTACAGTGATACGGGGGGGAACTCGAATTGTTTAACACATCTGAAAATAACAAACTGGATTGTCAGAATGACTTCGAGGAGGTTTCTCAGTGGTTGCCAGGAATGTTCTTCTGAGATTTGGACATAGATGGAGTAAAACATGACCAGTCTTGGGTTTGGGGATGTTTGAGCTGTAATCAAGCTGAGGATTTTGCTGTGTGCACATAGTCAGACATGTTTGTTCTTGAAAAACAGCCTGAGGGAATGACGATAGACAGAGAAAGACCACAGATGGGCCGAGTCTTCAGATAATGTCAAAAGATTGGGGCTTATTAGGGCAGGCTATATTGGGCTCTGCCAGGTTTTCATGCCCTGCACTTAATGAAGCAAGACATCTAAACAGCAGTGATTGAAAGCTTGTTAGATATTATGGACCAAATACTTAATAAGATTGGGAAAGACATGTCTTGTGTTGCAATAGGCTGGCAAAAGAAATGGAGAATATTATGGCATGTTTCAGCAAATCTCAGTTATCAAGTGTTCTACTACTAATCTCTCATGGCAAAGCTTTGGTTTAAAACAAAGTTTTTGTGGTTTTATTTTTTAATATGAGCATACTAATGTCAGTAATGTGTTTACTCAATTTTGTATTAAAATTATGTGAAAAAAAAGTATTTTAAAGCAACATTTCTTCATCATGGATACGGAGGACATTGTTATAAAATTGTTTTTTTTTGCACATTATGTAATGAGAAAAACTTCTTACAGTGTCAGCTTACCACAGCAGAAAGATTATTTGAAAAATACAGAGTAAAGTCACACAAAATGTTATTGACTACATTCCACATTGCAGACAGCACGAAAGCGGGTTGACGGCTGATGTGTTTGTCTGGCATGCCTGTCACGTTAGCTACTAATCTTGTCAGTTTTGTTATGACGTTAGCTGCATGTCACAGTCCAGCTGTGCAGTCTCGTGCGCAGGCACACTTATGCAACATACAAACATACACGGAGGAGGCTCTATAGAACCTATTGTTATTAGCCGATCACTTGTCTACTAGTGTGTTATTAGTGTATATATATATATCCCAGATTCCTGTGCTTTATGATTAAAGTGTCACACATATTCACTGAATCTTTGTGGGCAACATGTTTGTGTCTGTTACAAGAATAGCATAAAGGAAACTGGAACTCAGCTTTTCCTGTGATAATGAAAACTGTCTGTCAACAAGTTTATCAGCCACAGACAAGAATCCTTCGCTTGTAATGCTACAGCTGAAGGGTGACATTCCAAAGCATGAGTTTTGACACATAACAATTACTGTTTAAAATCCAGTCATTTAAAAAAGAAAAAACACAGATTCTGCACCGTCCATTACTTGACTTGTTACCCGTTAATATAAATGTAATCTCAGCCTTGGTCTGGTTGGTAGTGTTACTGAACTGTAGTAAGGGCACTGTTTGTACAAACATGTGATTCTTTATCTAAAACATACTCTATGTACATATACTTGCAGTGCGTCATGTGACATCATACATTTTGATAATTTTGACAAAAGTAAGATTATGGAGGACACAAAACTGGACATGAAGCTGTTTTAAGTATCAATACTTAGATACTTATTCAATACCAACGTGTTTAGAATGATATAATACTATTATTCATTAGTATAAAATGTTATGCATGTTACATAATGTGCAATACTAAATACAGGTGATTCATAGAAGATTTTATTCCCTTTTTTTAATCTATAGTGTGAATGGTGCATTGTAGTATTTTGGGTTTGATGTTGTTAGGCATGTTGTATAAACACCAGTAATTGTGCTCCTAGCACGTTGGGGTTAGTCAGTTGGATTATAAACAGGACTGAATGGGATTTGGGCTAATTATTGTTTACATTGCTGAATCAGTACCTGCTGTATGAAGAACCAAGGCTTCCAACACATGAGCGCACAAATTAGAGACATTAAAATGAAATCTTTTAACTACGCCACAGTGCTGATTATATCCTTTCTGTAATCGTGCTTCATCCGCTCTACCGTTTCACTGTCTCACTTATTGCTTTGTGTGTCTGACATAATTTAAATGAGCAAGAGTGAGGAAGTTTACTGTAAGTGTTTGATTAATGGCTTGCCTGCTTTGATTTGAATATGTGTATAACTTTTCTCTCTTCAACTTCCCCCATTACTCTGTCTGTACTGCTGTTGCTCTCCATGTCCTCTCTCTGCACTGCACTCCAATCTTCTTCTCTGGTTAGTTTTTATGGCAGAGTATGACCGACTCGTGCATCCCCTCCTCTTTCAGCCGGCATTAAGAATGCGGGTGGGGTTGATGAAGTGTCACTGAGCACTGTGGTTGCAGACGAGGGTGTTTGAGAACTAGGTTCCATCAGTCACTGAGATCGCCATGGTCTGCAAACACTCTTTCTAGTAGCTGAATGTTGCATACTGTAATGCTTTTACCCATGTGGCTAAAGTTAAATAAATGATGTGACACTGTGTAATCATTTACAATTCCTGTCTATATCACATAACCACAGATTGCTCGGTATTACATTCCTTTAATTATTTTTACACTTACATCAATTTGTGACCTTCCATCTCCAACTACACCAAATTCACACACCATAAATACCTTTACCAATCGTTCCCCACTATATCACAAATCTGTACTGAGACGTGCCAGCCCAAAACTGTCAACTTTCCGTGGTAGCCAAACCCAAGCCCAAAATTACGCATAATAATATACTACTGTAAAAATTACTTTTCAAAAGTGTTTTGGGACTCAAACATGATACCAGTCCAAAAGAAGTCAGACAATATTGAGTCATATCCAATATTTAGTTATATTTTAGTTTTTTCCTACATAATACAGCTGCACAGTGTTTACTAAAAGGCCCAGTATACTCCATCAGTAGTGCGTGTTGGATGGTTGGAACACCTTTCCGACATCTCAATTCGGGGGTCACTGTATCCAACAAATTCTGTCATTTTTCAACATTCTCACCCACTTGGGTTACCCACCCACACGAGATTGGCAATGTGTGTGGAGGCGAGAGAGTAAGCAGCGTTTGAACTGCTTTTTCTAGCTCTCTTTTTACATTCTCAAACACAACTATTTCTGTCTACTTGTCATGTGAATGTCTTCCAGGAGGGACTGTCTGAAATGATGTGCCATTATCCCCATATATGAAAAATATTGTATCTCACTCCTCTTTATGATGACCAGCTTTTTACTTTGCCTCGCAGTGTGGCCTTTTTGAACAGCTATAAACAATTTTGCCCTCTGTTAGCATAACCCGATCCTAAGCCTACAGTATGCCGGTGTACATTCAAATGATTAAAGCAATTGTTTAATATGTTTCGCAGCTAAACTCATTAAGAAATATAAACTGTATCACTATAATAATGGATTTAATGTCCTGTAATATGTTGCATAATATGAGGTTTGGTTCACCTGCATTGCTCACTGAATGATTGTGATATGGTTAATTGAAACTTCTGTCTGCGGTTTGTTTATTTTGTGCACTCCAGTTCATTTGCTCACGGCGTTGCATGGCTGCACTTTTAATGGAGCACAGTGCACTATATCATGGCAAACAGCCTTCCACTTGGCGCTGGGGTCTGCTCGAGGTTTCCACCTCTTAAAAGGAAGGTTTTCCTTGCCACTGTCGCCAAGTGCTTGCTCATCATGGTGGGAATTGTTGGGTCTCTGTAAATAGTTTTGTAAGGAGTATAGTTTAGACCTGCTCTATATGAAAAGTGTCCTGTGACTGAAATGCATTTTGTATAGTGACTGTATTTAGCCAGTACAGAGCCAATCAAAAAATGCCTGCCATCATATCCCAAAACCTGCAGATCGGCTTGGGGCCATCTCCCCTTATTCAGTAACCTCTGACCCATCCCAGATGTCCACCACGGTTCTCTATTGTGTCTAAAGCAGTCCTCTCCCCTCCTCCTGTTACATCATCACCACTTCCCCACAGGCAGCTGCTGTCCCCATCCATATTTAACGCCCATTACTTAGAGATGAATGGCTATCTTCAGATGCTACACAGTCATTGCTGTTTTATCACTGCCAACATGGGACTGGAAGAGCAGCATGAGTAAATGTTGTAGCATATCATACGAGGCACAGTAACTGGCTTTCTGCAGCTGCTGTCAGTTTGGTTTATATTACATAATTTTTTTTAATGCGGCTTCAGTGTACATTTTTGGATTATAGTCATATATAAAGTTAACATTTTTCTGTCTAGTTTGCAAGCCTCAATTGTAACAGACACGTAATTTCTGTCATCGCTTCAGTGAGTGACCTCATTTGTCTCTGTCTCTCTTAGGCTGGCGGAAACTGATGACACAGAGGAGCCAAAGGGTAAGACGAGCTCTCCACTTTCACTGCACTCAGCTCCTCTATTGTTCCGCAGACTGCTTTATCCTTGAACTCATTCAAGTTCTCTCTATTACTCAGTGTTCAAGGAATACTGAGCTCATTGCTGATGTCGGATCACCTACCTGGTTTATAGATTTTGGCTGTTTAATACTCTGCCACTGAGGAGGAGTGAAAGAAAACAGATCTACCAGTGTCTTTTGGCTCTGTTTTGTTCGCTGTATAATTTGAAGTGAATGTTTTGCCCCAGGCGATGGTTTCCTTTTTCCCAAAAAATAAGGGAGATAATGTTTGGCACGTGCCTGCAGAGTTTGGTGCGGGTGTGCGCTTTCACTTGTGTGTTTCTGCGCAAAGGTTTGATCATATGCAATTACTCTGGAAGCTTGTTTCAGCCAGCTCACATTATGAACTAATTTTGGAGCCTGCCTGCTATAGAGAGAAGAAAATGGCTAAGTTTACTCATGGGCTGCTGGCTGCTTTTCTGACTCTCATTCAGCCACCTGAGCCCACAGAGTCTGTCTGCCTGTCTGTCTATCTGCCGCCTGCCTGTCTGTGTCATTGGCCTCCTGCCTTTTCACCCATTGGTGGGCTGGCCTGGCCTGTCTGTATGTGTTTCTCTGCGCATGTGTTTGATTTGGCCGTCTTGCTTTGTGCTTGCTTACTTGCCAGGCGATGATGAGTGAGTGTGTTTGTGTGTGTGCTAGACGGCACAAGAGAAAGAAAGATAGTGACAGGGAGAATAGATAGGATAGGAAGGTCCCAAGAGCAAAACGCAGGGTCATTGCAGTATATCAGGACATTTGAAGCAGTGTTAACCAGGAAGTCTGGTAGATTAAGTCTTAATGATTTTCAAATTTAATCAAATGAGCAGAATTATGTTCATGTTATATTATATGCTAGTATGCGTATCTGTTGTGTTGCGTTTGACCTAGATTTTCTCCATGCAAATGTGCACAACAAGCATACGTAGGGGTAAACGACAGAGCTGGTGTATCCATGTGCAAATAAATCAAAGGTTTTATCCAAACACTGATTAGTGTGTTCGACTGCAGTGCTTACTCACCTTCTGCCTTGGGTGGAGCTTTTTTCTCATTGCAGCAGCCCAGGTTCTTCCTCTCCCCCCCCCGTGAAGTGACTCTGATCTATGCTGAAAAATGTTGTGAAATGTTTTAAAACAATCATTCTGTCAGTGGCTAGTAATCATCTGCTGCATATTGTTAAAATATTGTCATAAAGTTAAAACCTTGTTAACCTAATTAACTGTAATGATTTTCTACAGTTTTGTCATTGATTTAGACACAAAATGTGAATCACAATATCTTGATATGACAATATTGTGATTAATTTGGGAACAGAGTACGAAGTAACACTGAATACTGAAGATTTCCTTTGCTTTCGATAATTGATTATCTGTCAAACATGTCTGGTAGATTAACAGACAAGGGAGAAAAGGACCAGTGTATTTCTCTAGTTGGAGGACACGAGTAGAAATTCGACTAAAAAGACCCAAAGATTCAAGAGGAACAAAGGACAGTCAGTGTTCATCTTTATTCAAGATTTGAGTGTGTGTGTGTGTGTGTGTGTGTGAAAGCAAAAGCGTGTGAGAGCATTGGCAGTGCATTCACATGGCTGATGGCGCTTCCTGTCCAAGCTGGCAGTGGATTCAGCGCTCTGAGCCAGAACGCCTCTCATGGTCTTATCAAGGGTTTCCCCGACCCGTCAGCTATCCCACAAGCCAGCAAGACGCACACATAGACATTACGCAGAAATCCTTTGCTTTATGATTTTACACATTCAGAATTCAGCACCCAGTCTTTATAGTCTTAATGGGAGTTCAGCATGTGGCGCCTTATTTCTGTTCACATACGTGCAGACTCTGTTGGCCATTACAAGGTCAAAGGCCCATCCAATAAGCTCTCCGCAGCTATAACTTGTCTTGACAGATGGATGAAAACACTTGTGGAGAAGTCCGTAAACTCAAGTGGAGGTTTTTCCATCTCTTGAGTTTTTCTTGTTTTTTTCTCTCTCACTGTGTCTCTGGCTTAGATGTTAAATGGATGATGATGTAAAAAATATTGGATTGGAATCAAAACTGAGTGGAGTCACCAGTCTGCAATGCGTAATGTTTCATCACCTGAACTAAATCATGCTAAGTTCTGGACAGCAGGGGAGCTTGGAAACATAAATCAAAACTGGAGTATTATGGCCTCAACGGAACATTTGTTTCCATTGGAAAAGGGGGAGTTTTTCAGAGACATTACTTGGATTTGTTTGTTCCTTTGTTTTCTTAGGAGGGGAATAATTTTGGCATGAAATGTCACATTGTAAAGGCAATAAAAACAGATTTCGAGTGGGAGAATGGATTTGAGTGTGCTGACTTAAGAAATTTGTGTTGTTTTGGAATACCATTAAATTTAATGGCTTCCTTTTGTTCGGATTAGAAGATTATATTCTCAGGGCTGTTTTTGATTAAAACAACTCCCATGAGAAATAATTCTCTTTCGCTCTCATATGTATACACACACAATGTAATCGTATTCCTTTCTTTAAAAAGTCCATTGTTTACTTTAAACTCTGAATCCACTGAAACCCTGTGACTTCTCATACCAATCAAGAGGCAAGGGAAATATCTCTGTTAATTTCCTTTTCTGATCCAAATACACATTAGAAGCACTGGAGAAGCCAATAAGGTTATATCCTGTCACTTTTTCATGTCTATATTTTCCAAGCCGTTATCCACAGAAAAGAAAACTTCCACTTAACCTGTGTGGCTCGTTAATTTGAGTACAGCATCTATTGACTTTTATAGTTATGTAAATGTTTGTTCAGGCATGCATCAATTTACCTGTTAAAGCTACCTTTGTGCATTTGTCTATGCTCCGTTCTGCCTTTTGCATGCAATTGTGTTCTGTATTTACAAAAAGCTAGTGTGTGTGGTTAACCATATGTGACCTCATTATCTTCCCAACCATCCACAATGCATTATGTTGTGGATACCAAACACACACAGTCAGTCTTAAACCCTCATTGTAAGATGACACCCTGACTCATCATATGATACTACACTGGCAGGGTTAAGGTTAGGTTGTTTTCTCACTGTTGTATTCATGGTCAACCTTGTGTTGGTTTGTGTGTGTTTTATTCTTTTCAGTTGACGAGAAGCCTGAGGAATCAGCCAAGAGGACTTCCAAGATGTCTCTTTTTAGGGTATGGTATTTTAGGTTTGTTCTCGAACTTGGGGTTGGGCTCTTCTGGATACCTGTGCCCGCTAGATGGTCCGTAAATTCCTCCAATTGTATGGCCGCAATGTCTCATTTTCTACATATGTTATGTGGTTGAGGAAGCTTTGGATTTCTCTGCTGAAGGTGTGTTTGCCGTGAGCCGTGTTGGTTGCATCTTGCTCTTCTCACCTCAGCCCAAATTTCAATCTCATAGCACCAAATGACAGCACACACTAAACCAAATCCAAATTTCAAAACATGAATTTAAAACCTTTTGAGTGATGTCAAAGATGCTGTATGTGTATTTTTCTACAGTTTATGGTTAATTCTTGTCATTTCCTTCGCTGATTTACTTCCAGCCTTTTCCAATGCAGCTGGTGTACGCTTCAACCCTCTCTGGAAGTTTGCTCCATTAATAACAAATTGAGCTGTTCCATACAGCACTGAGCTGTCCTGCACCTGGATGCACACTTGGCCAAAGTCATGACTTCACACTTAACTGGAGGTCTTGAAGCAGTTGTGGGAAGAGTAGTCCAGAGAGCTAAAAGATCCATTCAGGAACAAAAACTTGATAATAGTCTCAATCCTATGGGAGATATACACATGTGCACTTAGAAATCGAGAGATTATCATGCTTTCCCAGGCTGCTTAAGTTTCAGAAGTGGCTAGGTTTCATAATATTGGATGTAAATAGCCGTTCTAACTTGGCCTTTATAGACCAGGAGCTGTGCCAAGGTTGCCCAAGTGAACCCAGATGGCAGCAAGTTGCTCCAACCAAAGACCTGCTGGGAAAACAAGCAAGACTATCTTACAATCATGCTACTTATTTTCTCTTTTTTTCCCCTGCTCTATCCTTTGTTCTGACCTAGAGCTCTGTTATTTTAAGGTGTCTCACTTGAAAATAATCAGCAGTGACGGATACTCCTTAGCTGTCTCCACTTTTCTCTTATCACTCATTTCTCCTCCACAGTCCCTGTTGAAAGCCAGTGAGTCAGTGTCTCCAGCAGGAGAGACAGAACACGAGTGAGCTTATAGTATGTCTGCTTTCCAGCACAGATGCAGGCAATAAAATGTGTACATGGAGACTTCTAGATAAAGATACAGCTCATTTACATTTTTTATTTCCTGAGTATATAAAAAAAACATGTTTTTGTATTCATGCTGGATGGAAAATAAGTTCCTTCTTTATAATCAGTGATCATCAGTCAGTTTGTAAGAGGCCTCTAATTCTGTAAGCTTCGGTATGTAATTTTGTGAGAAAAAGTGCATTTGATTTCCATTGCTTCGCTCACAGCTGGAGATCCACTTTACTCCACCAGGTTACCTCAAGGCCACGGTACAGTGTTTACTGACAAAACAGTCTCACACAGCTGCATGGCTCACACTGGACGCATGTTTTTTTTTAAAGTCTGATGAATAGACTATGAAAATTGGATAAAGAGATTAAGTGAGACATTTAAATCGCATTTTTAAAATTGGGTCAGGTTGAACTGGAATTTGTGATAAGATCCGGTATTTGTTCTGTTTCTATTAATCTTTAGTTTAGTTCTTTTCACTCATTCATGCCAAGCATGATTTGTTCCACCAAATCATGGTCACGATCAACACTATATTAGACTAAGTGTGATGTGGAAACTTAAAGCCTCTAGCGCACATGTTCTGAGAATGTTTTAGTGAAGTAGGACAGAAGAAAAACTTTTGAAATATATATTTGCATATTCAAAGATTCTGGATTTTAAGAATAACAGGGGAGTAGATGTCATTTTAAGAGTTTTTTGTGTGAAAACCATATCGAGCACAAATTATTATTCAAGTATTTTTGTTTTGTAATAAGTCTGGAGGGGATCTATAACTGTTAAAGATGTCTTTAAAAAAAAACAGAGATGTAAGACTCTTTTTGTTTTAGTTTTCTCTGTATGTACTCAGGGTGTGTAGATTTCTCATAAGTGCTCTTTGAATGCACTTGCAAGGGTTAAGTGCTCTGCTCAAGTGTAGGGGTGGAGCTTCATTTATTCATTCACTTCCCTTATCAAGATTTATTTTTTTTTTACAGCTGGTGTACAACTTCATGTCTCTCAAGCCGATTCCTAACCTTTAGGTCACCCTTCTCTCTGTCTTTAGGACATGGAGGGGGCAGAGGATGGAAGCAGCGGCCGATCTGCTGACAGGCTAAAGTGTCAGCTAATTAGCAACGACGATGAGGAATCCTCGACCAGGTAGAGAGGTTCAAACTGATTTTTAATCACAGCGGAGTTTACTTCTAAATGAATTGGTCAGGATAGCAGAGATGTTAGTTTGCTGTGGAAAATGTAAAGCTTCTGCTGGAATATTTTTTTGATATGTTAAATGTATGCCACAGAATGATCGGACACTTTTATCAGGCTTTAACTTTGAATGGAGTTTTATTTTTCACCAATGCATTGAAACTTTGAATGGAGTGGAGTGAAAGAATTTTTTCGGCTATGGTACATTACATACACTACAACACAAGAAGATAAACAAACAAATTCACCATAAAAGAACAACTTGCACACTCACACACAGACTGAACGGGGTACAGAGGTAATTACAGACCAATTCAAGGGCTGTTTAATGATGTAAACAGCTGCAGAGATAAACCAGATAAACCTGCAGAGCTCCTCTAATACCATGCACTCTCTCGCACACACACGCATGCATAAACACTGGGCTATGTGGTAGCCATGGTGATGCAAACCAGACTGAAGTTACTAGCTGAAGCAGTGAGAGCCAAACTGTACTTAGCACTGTAACCACTGGAGTAAAAGGTCTGGACTGAGTTTGTGTGTGTGTGTCTGTGTGTGTGTGTGTCTGTCTGTCTGTCTGTCGATAGGCTAAAGACATAAGTTCATTCCTGTCCCTTTTTGTCTACATGGAGTTTGAACTGACCTACAAACTACTTTGTTTCCTCCAAGTAATATCAGTATATTTGACTATTTTTCTTCTGAACCTTGTCACTGACCTTTTCAGCAAAGCACCAACGCACTGTGTGCAACAAACCAAACAAAAATTAAACAATAACTTGAAAAGACTTTGCTCAGGAGCATGCTAAAAGCAAAAGCGAATGTGTTGGAGCATCAGTAACTTGCAATGGTTAAAAACACATCAGATGAGATAATCATGGGCTTGTGGACCTACTTAGCTTGCCAGAGTTTGCTGTGGTGTATTAGCAAAGTTCAGTGTCTTTATCATCATTCTGGCCCAGTGCCTAGTTTGATTACAAAGCACCAAATCAGTAATACTTTACTGATTGTGGCAACGCCCTTTGTATTTGTAAAAAAGGAAAACAAAAACCTTATAAAATCTTCTGTAGTAGTGTAGAGCAGTGGTTCTCAATCTTTTGATGTGTCAGTAACCACCAAGACACATCAGGCTGCAGAACCGTAGTAGATAGTGTCAGGGATCCCTGTGTGATAAGGTTTAGTTATTCCACAACTATACTGTAGATTGGCAGATTAACAGTGAAGATTGTGAAACCTTTGAAAAGAATAGTCATTCTTACACTTTCTGTCATTAGGCTTAATCCTAATCAATTAAATAATAGTGAAATTAAAATGGATCAAGCTTTACCCAGATAGATTCAGTAACAGTTCGGGGTGGGTATCTGCTACTGTATTACTGTAGTTAGGGATGCACAGATACCGATACTGGTATCGGGTATCGGACCGATACTAGTCTTATATACTCGTTCTCGTACTCGTTAAAGTTAATCGATACCATGAACCGATACCAATTTATTACATGCAATTGCTTTGCATGAAGACCGCGATCAGAGGGTAGCTTGTCATCATTGGCGGCAAGGGGAGATATCCCCACACAGCAAAAGGACTCCGCGGCGAGGTATGGCGGCTTCCGGAACGGACCAGCGAAACGGATCCGCTACGGAGGCGGATCGCGGACCCGCCGTGGCTCCGTGCTGCATCCGCGATTAAAACCTTACCTCCGCCTTGTATTTCTAACCTAACAATATTGTCAGAAAAGGTTCAAGTCAAGACCTCAATATAGCCTGCTGTACAAAAGTAATCACTACTCAATGGAAATATAAAATTGACATTTACATTTAAGGAAAGTTATAGGTTATAGCCTATTCTGTTTTTGTTAGGTTACTCTACATTTATTTTGTGGTCAAAAAATTTAGTGCATTTTTTTTTTTGTGGTAGAAGTATCGGCATTCGGTACTCGGTATCGGCAAGTACTCAGATCCAAGTATCGGTATCGTATAGGTTTGAAAAAACTGGTATCGTTGCATCCCTAACTGTAGTACATTTAGTATAACGTAAAAAATGCGGATGGTAACTGATTATATCACTAACCACTGGTTATGCATCTATGACAGAAGGATGGTGGTGGCACAGCAGACTAATTATTGTTACATTGGAATAATTGCAGTTTGTGGTTTTCTTGAAACCTCAGTATATAATGGCTGAATTGTTTTGACATTAAATATTATAATGTTTGTTTTTTTTCTGTCTGTTTCAGCCTTTCCAAAACTGATATAAGCAAGGTAATGGATGAGAAAGAGGCCACCGATGAAGCTGAAGATGAGTGCGAATATGCTGCCACTGAGGAAGAAAAGAAGGTCAGTATGTTTTCTTTCTCCAGTAAGTCTTCTTAAGAGTTCATACTACACAGCACTGCTAAAGGTATCGCTCTGGATTTTGTTTGGAAAGATCATATTTTTGACCGCTTTTGTTGCAAATCTGAAAAATGTTACCACCGCATGCGAGCCGATTCCAAAACTCTTACTCACCTTAACTTTGGCTCTGTTTACCTCTTGGTCTGGTCTGGTTTAGTTTTTATTGTTTTTGAAGTTGGCGTAGATTGTAATTCATGTCACCGATGTACAGTTGCATCTGGACAAAATGTGATCACGTCACCCTGATCTTAAACTGACCCTCACAAGTAATGAAAGTATGGACATGAAATGTTTATCAAACACTTTATACACTGGTGGTTTTCATTTCAGAAGACCACCTGGTTAGCATTGCACTTTTACACCCAGCTGGCCTCACAATCTGCTTGTCCCTTCATCTCCTCCTAAATCAGCACTCCCTCATAACCTTTGACCTGTCAGTAGGTCGTCTGCTGTTGTTCCAGCTGCTGCTGCTGTATCATCTAAGCAATAACATATTGAAGACACACAAAAGGGCATGTGTGTGTATGGGTTATTTCATGTCAATATTTACTGCATTACTCTTTAAAACGCATTATCACATTTTCAAGATTTTATGCTGTCTTTGATCAAAAGGCTTTTGTCTTATAGTTAGAGCATTACTCAACGCAACATATGTTGCTATTTTCTTTCTGGGGAAAAAAAAAACTAACATATCCCAAACATCCCAAACACATCTTGCAGATTTATTGACAAAGGCTGAGTCCCCCCATAATCTTTGCTGACACACTGCTTGCTGTCTGCTTCTTCTTCTCCCACCCATTTACTCTTGGACTTTTACTTCATCCGTTTTTCTAATCACCATTGTTTCCGCTTTCACAAGCTTTAAGTCTTCTTTTTTTCCCCCCCTTATCTCCACTTTTATATCCCTTTAACCCCCTAATCCATCTGACACCCCCTAACCCATATTCTCTTGATAACAGCAGTAGGTCTCTGAAAGCAGGAACAGTAGTACTGTTTGTAACAGTGTCTGTTTGTGTATATGTTTGTGTAGAAAGAAAGGGGGTTTTCACTGTTTATGTGGAAACTGCAGAGGAGCTTAAATTGGAAAATGTTGATCAGGCATGGTCAGAGAGAGTTATGTTATAATCAGGGGGCCGTAGAATACACTTCACGTAGTACTGGAACTTTAATAATCTGTTCCAGATATTATAAATATTACAGCTCGTAGTAAAAAAGACTTCTTTCTCTTTCTCCCCCCCTACATCAGCCTTCTAGCGTCTACTCTGACAGAGCTCTCCCCCTCAACAAGAACAGAGACGCCTCCCCCCCTCCCTCTCCTCCCTGCCAGCTTGCCTCACTTCAGCGCCAAGACTCAGGGCCACGAGGCATCAAGGGAATCTTAAAGAAAAGCCGCTCCACAAGCGTGGAGTCGGACCACAGCGAGGGATCGACGCAGGACTGCGCACCAGCCCGACAAAGCAGTGTCACTCTCAGCCACCCCGAGAGTGAGGAGGAGATGGAGGATGAGGAGGAGGAGGAGGAGAAGGAGGCAGAGGAGATGGAGGACGAGGAAGAGGAGATGGAGGATGAGGCCAATGGGGAAAATGAAAGAGAGGATGGGTCATTAACTGATGATATCGCAGATGGAGGGAGCTTCAGCATCAGCAGACAACAGACGGGGGGAAGCAGCATTAGCAGTAGAGGGAGCTATGAGGAGATGCGGAGTCCCTCGCCTGACGAGAGCCTTGAGCAGAGGTCCACAGTGTCGGAGGATGTTGAAGACCTGGACAGCAGTTTGAATGGAAGCCAGGGCTCTTTACTCAAACAAAGGTCATTGGATGTTCACAGCAGCATGCATTATTATGAAGTGTGGGGGCTTTATGTGAAATAAAAACATTAAAATAAAACTTAATCTACGAGGTTTTGTTGCCTCAAGGGCAATGCACATCTTTAGCCCTGAACACACTTCTTCACTACTGTTTTACTTAAGTCATCGCAGTCAGTTTGTCCCTCCAATATTTTTATAATATTGTTTAAGTTCTTATAGCTCAGACCTGAGAACAGTGGCACTTTGACAATTAGAATTCAATTCAACAAACTTTGTCCACACAAAGATCTATCCTTGCACCCTTTCAGTATATTTAAATGAATTCATTATCATTTGAGACATATAACTAAAGCACCCAGTAATTAAATAACTATTAAGAGCAAAAGCAGTGCGTTTGAATGTTACAAATACTTAATTGCATAGTAAATATAACAAATGTAAATATCAATGCTGTCTTGAAAAATCAGGGTAAAGAACTAATGTGTCTTTTGGGATTTTCAGACTGGCAGACTTCACTAGCGATGGTGAGAAGAAGGACAGACTGAAGAAGGCAAAGCCAACCGAGCTGATCCAGACATCACTGGCTGATCGCTTCGGTCAGCTCCAAGATGCTGAAAATTCCTGGAGGAAAAAGGTAAGTTTGTACCTATTGAGCAAACTCGTTGTGTAGTTGGTTGGTTAGAATGAGTAACAGGTCTACAAGACCTCTTTTAAAATACAAGCTTTTTTTGTTGGAGTGCGTTGTTTTTTTGGGTGGATAAAAGGGCAGTAATGAGCAAATCCTGCCATATGTCGAGGCTTCCCCTCAGCTTTGTGTGCAGGGAGAGAAAGATTTGGCCAGGGACACATTTCTTCCTCTGCTGAATCAGCTTATTTCCCCCGGAGCTGCTGCCAAAAGGGTGTGAGGTTAGTAGGGCTTGGGAGTGCAGCAGATTTGGGAGTGGTGATACCAAAGCCAGAGATCCAGGGCTTAGCCAGCCTCCCAAAGAGAAAGAGAAACACGCCCCTTCCCCTTGTAAAAATAAAATCCTACACCATGACCAAACACCTGCAAACCTTCCAAACTAATGCCTGCTTCCTTTGTTGGTTTGTGTGCTCTCCTCGTCTCCTATACCGAAAGTTAGAAAAACAATTCCCTCAGTAAGTAAGCTTTTGTGTTTATCAACTTTCATGTCTCACAAATGTACATCCAGGTCAGACAGTTTTACAGAGGTCAGTGTTTATTAGACGCATGCTAAGATAACTGGCATTTTTTTAAGTGGTGATAGAAGTGCATGCAGGTTCCGACAAGCTCTGCTCCTAAACAAACAAGACCACCCTTCCTTGTTTTCAAGTGGTAAAAAAACACTTACACTCTGTAATAACCAGTGCAAGCAAACAATGGTGCTACAGCAGTGGAAAACCCCCATGTGTGCCACAAGGAATATCCCCAAACAGTCAATTGGACAACAAGATTGAAGTGATGTCATGCTTCTTTATACAGACCATCTCTTGGCTTGATGTCTGTTAAGATCAATGATCCTCTTGGGGGATTTCTGGTTTGGGTTCATCCTTCATCCAAGGATGACCTAACCTTAGAATAAATCCACTAGTCTGGAAAAAGCCACTTTTATAAGTAAGTACAGACAGCCAAAAATGTGAACAAATCCCCAGTCAACTAAATACTAAACAACTGATGTAATTTTATATTTGTGTGGTCTGTCTTCATTATGATGAATCAACACACGAGTCGATAAGAATTCAGTGTAGTTCCATTAATGGCACAAAAACTGCATCCTCAACACTCACACGCATGAAAGAAGGCCAAGCTGGTGTCCAAAATGTCTGCGGATTTGGTCCTTTAATTCTATCTGAGGTTATTGCCTGTGAATTGGTCTGGAGGCTGCTGTGCACTGCGGCTGCTACTGTACAGCCCTGGGGAAACTAACTCGCATCAGAGATAATACACAGTTTGGCTAAATTATTGGCATTAATGCCCTGTCGGCATTAGCTATGGGGCGTCTACTTACATGTGATTATTCTTGGTACATTTCCGTTTCTCTGCCATTGGTTTTACATGTTTAGGCATGTTGTTTTACCTCATGCACTGCCAAGCCGGAGCAGATGTTGTTGCTCTTTGGTTGATATGTGGGAGACTGGGGAATGTAACATGCATGGTACACACCATGGTCATCTTCAACCAGCTCCAGATGTTTCCTGCTAAGCTGTTCTGTACACCACAGTTGTGTTGTAAAGTGAGGCCTCGTTGTAAATTTAATTGAAAGATGGTCCGTCTTGTCTTGAGTAATGATTGTTAATGATAAGTTTGCAGCGTACCAATAGTCCATGTTTAATTGTATCTAAATAAAAAAGGTTTTGTTGTTCTAAATTCCATTTTATTTTAAAGTGTAGTGTCCACACAGACAGTAAGACAGTTTGCTTTCAAATCCCTCAGGATTTGCTAAAGGTCTAGGTTTTGTATTCCAGTGATGACTCATTGAAGACTAGTCTGGTCCAGTCCATTAAGACTAATGATCCGTTGGAAATATTGTCCCTGGTGTGTTGATTTCCATGAAATGTTTTTGAGATAAAAACAACTAAAGATGAGTTGATAATCTCCAATACATTGTGTGTTGAAAAGGTTTTTTTAGGCTGTTTGAAAAGAAAACTGATCTGTAGAAAGCCAATACACTGAAAGGAGTCAAACTTTTTGCATTAATTCCACCAATGGGGTGACATTTACACTCGATTTCAACTCTTGCTAGTTCATACCCTCATAAATTGGAATGAGTCACACATGCATTGCTTTCAGTTCATGGTGTTTGTCCTCTTCACCTGACTGTTTAAACTGAAAACTGAAAGCAGTTTATTTCCCTTTTCCTTTCTCTCCCATCCTCCCAAACTTTATGCCAGGCTTTAGATGACTTTAACTGTCTCTTCTTTAGGCTTCCATACAGAAACCCACTCATTCCAGCTGTTGCGGCCTAATATTGCCCTGCTCTGCTCTTTCTCCTCCATACTCTTCTGATAATTTCCCTCTCCTCTTCTTCTATTCCTCCTCCTTTTACCCTCTAGTTTCCTCTGTCCTTTCCTGCGGACTCTACCCCTTTCTTTGACATCTGCCTGTCAACCTTTCCCAGTCCTTTCAGGTGAGTGTGTACATACTGCACATATGTGCCCCTTTGCATGGACTTAATAAATTAATTTTGCCCCCTTTCCTCTACCTGTATTCTGGACAACCTCTCACACTCTCTGAGTATTACCACAAAGAAATGAGAGCTGTCAACACACTCGCTATTGCTACATGAATGAGGTTTGCTGGCCCTCAGTCGGTCGATATCTGTGTCAGTGGTTTGACTGAGGTACTGCCTGGACTGTACAGTAAGGCAGGGCTGAGAAAAATGGTTTCCTGTGGGGGCTTGAGGCCCAGACCCTTTCCTCCCCTCCCATCTCTCTGGGGTCCTGTCAGGCCAAGGTATTTCCCCTCTCTGATTGACTCCAGAGATGGGCTGCTCGCTGGAGGGCCTGCGTCAGTCTGTATGTGTGTGAGAAGGCTTTAAGACTGTGTGAGGTGACAGGTATTGTAGTTTACAATCCTTATTGTACCGAGAGAATGTAAGGTAGTGTGCAGGCTATTGGGAGATGTATGTTTTGAGTATTAATAGTTTAAAGGTAAAAGAAACTGGATTTACTAAGGTATCTCGCTCATGCTGCCTTCAAGACATATAGAAACAGTTCTGTAGGTCAGAAGATGTATTCTTTCATGTTATGAAGTCAGCAAGAGTTCACTTTGATGTCCAGCCCTAGTGTGTTAACTCTGTGTGTGCTAGTGTGGGTAAATGTATTTGTTTGAACTTTTCTCTCATGTCAGGCTAATGTTTGACCACACCATACAACAAGTACAAAAAAAAAGGGCAAAAAGACAGATGGAGAGAGGGTGTGTATGTGTTTGAGTGGAAGATTGTTAGAAGGAAACTGGTGGTTTTTTCCCCCCATTTAGTTACTACATGGTTGTTTGTATATCACACCATGTGTCACATTCATTCAGGACAAATAACACACTCCTCAGGCTTGTTATTTAAATTAGACTACGTTATTCTTATATCACGGGGCAATTTCCAGCTCCTTCCCTCTCAGGGTATCAAAAATGATTGGTTAAGCAGGGCTGGAGAGTCTTGCTCAGGGACAGTTCAGCAGTAAATATATTGTTAGACTGTTGTTGGATTAAACTTTTGACCTTCCAGTCGCAGAGCCTCTTAAACGGCCAAGTTATTTTTCTTCTGCTTTTCCAAGCAACCTTTGGCTTTGGCTTTTTTAACTCCGATCTGTACGACTTCTCTTTCAAAATTAAGTTTAGAAATAAATAGATAGAAATAAAGCTTTAGGTAATGTAGTAGTGACTAACGTTTATGTTGATTGACAAAATGTATAAAACATTTGTTTTAATTGATCAATGGTTTAGTGAAAATATATTGAACGGTAGCTGTAAGCATCAGTTAGTCCAATAGCTAAGGCTGTAGCTCAAAGGCTAACTCAATTAGCCTTTGAAAATAGCATACTGTAGCTTGTTCAAAGTTTATATCATTGATAATTTGTACTGTGAGTTATTGGACAGTTTGCCTGTTTGTCACAGTGGTCTGTTCATAATATTGCTTCTTAAAATTCACATCCAGTCTGCTGTTGTTCCTGCTCTTGTACGGCTAATCAATTAATTTTGTAGAAATGTCCTGCATAGCTTAACACTAGCATTTGACTCCATTAGCTCTGTAGCCAAGAATTGTGGTCAGCTGCAGCTAATTAACAAATTTTGTGAGTTGGAAAACTACAAAATGAAGACTCCTAGCTGTTGTCTGGTTAATATGCTCATAACATGCCAGTGTAAGTTCTCGAGTAAGGAAACCCCACTGAGGAAGAGGTCCTTAATATCTATCTATCTCTGTATTTCTTTACTTGCTCTTTTCATGTAGAAATACATTCGATCACGCTTGGTACAAACTTAGCTTGTTTAAGACAACCAAGACAGGCATGAAGGTTCATTTATAGAAGCTAAAGTTTGAAAGGTCAGACCATGTTTCTCAAATCGTTCAGCTTAATACTTTTGTATTGACATCAATTTATTGCCAAAAATTAGAGGACAGATGATTTTGCAATGAAAGTCCTCCTGCAGCAGTCTGGCTGCAGTTCACCGCTTTAGCCACAACATCTTTTTCTCCTTAAAGCCGCTGACATCTGTGAATGTTTTAGTTGACTCTTCAGAGCTTACAGTAAAGATGATGCTATGAATTACAGTGTGACAGTCAGCAGATCATCCTTCATCCATAAAGAAAATTCCTCTAGGACCGTAACAAGCTATTTGGCTTCGGGAACTCCAATCATTTGTTTGTCATTTACTTTCATCTCTTGCAGCACACACTGGCCTGCTGCTGCTCTCTTAAGAATTCAGATAACACAAGTAATCCCAAATCAAGTTTTGGATACCTTTTTTTCTTCCATTTTCTCATCTTGTACAATAACTTTGCTTCATGCCGTGTATCTGCTTAGAATACTTTTTTTTGAGTGTGTTTCTCCTGTGTATTCATAGTGTGGAGGTGTATAACCTACTGTGGAAAGGAAGTCACCACTCATGCTACATTACACCCAGTCAATTGCTCATTATTTGCGAAGGAATAACGGGAGGCAGGCAATAAAAACCCAGGCAAGGCCATAAAACGCTTCAGATATTTAGCAGTGGAATATCATTAATTACTATAACAGTTCCTGAGGTCCAGTGGGACCAGGGGGACCAGTAAGACTCTGCTAATTCATTTTTAATGGTGGAGTTCAGGTGCAAAAATGGCAGTAGGAGTAAATCACGCAAGGAAAGCTCTACTGAATAGTCGGTGATGGATGGTCTCGGTATATAAATTTTAAGGATTTTAGTATTTTATTGTCAGGCCTCAACATTCTTCATGTTTTGTTTGTTTTTTGTAAAAATAAAGTTTCAATAACACAGTGAAAACCTCTGGATTAGTTGTTTTTGGGAGACCTCACCAACACCCAGAAATCATTGGAAAGTGATGGAATTTTTCATAATTCCCTACTAAATTAATTTCTATCTCAATATCTTCCTTCACCATCACCAGTAGTTTCTCCTATCCTTATGCAACCTTTCTTGCTCACTCGTGGTTACTTCACTGTGTCCTCATAACTGTCTGTTTGAATAAACGTTCCAACAGAAGTCCGGTGTAGATGTGGAGCCCAAGATGTCGCTGGTGGAAAGGATGAAGATCCTTAAAGACAAGGAGGAGCAGTGGAAAAACAAAGGCAAAGGAGCAGCCAATGACTCCATCCAGTTCACTGTGGCTGGACGCATGGCCAAGAGAGGTGAAACTTCAATGTTTGTTCATTTTGGCCTGAGCACGCTTATTGTTCTGCAGTGATATGCTAATAAGCAGATCTTGCAAAATCTCTATTCTCTTGCATGACTTTTCCATTCCTGCAAGTGTATTTTAGGTCTTAGACTCTGCTTGCTTGGACTATTGGTCCAATAAAACGAATGTGCCACCTTGGAATTGTTTATTTGTATTTTTCACATTTTTAGACAAAACAATTAATCGATTAATTGAGACCATACATAGATTAATCAATAATGAAAAGAATCATTAGTTGCGGTCCTGATTTTCACCCTTTTGTTCCACCAGGTCTTGTGTCAGATACGGGAAAAGAAGAGTCTCCCCTTATCTCTCTCAAGAAGTCCAATGCTACACCTGTGAAGCCACACGAAGGTAGTAGACATTCCACTCCAACAGTCATTCAGTTAATAATTAAAATGTAAACTGTTTAAACAATTTTAATTTTAAAAACGTATAATTTGAAATAAATAAGTCTGTGAAGTAAAGATTAATCGGGCCTCTGTTTGTTTTTGCTGGACAGAAATCTCCAGTAGAACTGATGTCAAGGTGGAAGGAGATAAAAGGCTTGACAAGCTCGAGTCTTTCCTCGACAAGCTCCACAATAAAGGTACAATCCCCCTGTTTGTTGTCATTTCCCATAAAGGATGATATTTAATCACACATTGTGTTATTAAGGGCCTATTGTACATGTATGTGATCAAATTTGTTATTCCACATTTACTTAATCCCAATCTTAAATCTCTTTTACTGCCACATAACCAGAGTGTTTATTAAACATTACAGCTCACACGACACAGCAAGTTTACATAACCGGATATCCAACACGTTTTGTATAGTATATCTGAATCACCTCACTGTGACCTTGTCTTTGTCCTGTTCACCAAAAGCATAATTCAGCAAAAAGAACAAAAAAGTCTCGTGTAACACTTCCTGTTACTTCCTTCCTGTTTCCTCCCGCGATGTGTGGGTCAGGCGTGAGCAAAAGCAAGACATCCACCATCGAGGTGACGGAAGAGAGGGAGAAAGAAGTGATGACTCTGGATGATGAGGAGACATTCGGCAACTTCTACAAAGCTGTCTCACCCTCGACCCTCCAGGACTCCAGTGTGGTTCTGACGGAGGAGGACCTCAGCCAGATCCAGGCCGATACACCAAAGTTAGTTTATAATAATCGTAACAATAACGAATTACACTATTAACCATTCGCCTAAGAACTTTTTCTGTATCTTATTGACAGAAATGTATTGTTTATGTGATAATTTGCCATCAATCCTGTCCTAACTATTGTTAACATCAGTGGCAACTTTATAATCCACATATATAAGGCGACACAACAACAATAACAACACAAGTAATTGTAAAACCGTTTAACTTGGAGTTGAGCGAAAGATGGAATGGACATTAAAAAATCCCCCAAAAGTTATATTTTGCATTAATATATCATGAATAAGATCAGACCTGTCATTCTCAGGTCCTCAGTTGCTTGAATTGAAAATGACCACTGTTTTGTGCATTTGTGTCTTCAGGCTCACATCAGCTGTAGCAGAACACAAGCGAGCAGTCCGACCAGCCAGAAGAAACCAGGGCTCCAGGAACCCCCTGCGGGCTCTGGCTGCCCGCAACGACATCCGCCAGGTCTACACCGAGCAAAGGCTTAATGTAGCCACAGTGGAGACCAAGAGGATCCAAGTGGAGAGGAGTAAGACTAACCTACCTACTGCAGTGCTATTAAGGCTTCCTAGCTGGGCTCAAGAGTTGTTTATGGCTTAACAGCTTTCACGGACCACCAATAGTTAAATCCACAACTAAATCTTGTTGTCTAATGACTCTACCAAGATATGTTGTGTTTTTCTTAAAAACTCTGCTGTGCTCTACTGGTGTTAACAATAACAAGAGGGGAAAAAAATACAGAAAAATAACAAGATAAAAGTCATTTGATACCTGAATGGAATCTCCAAAATAATACAAAATCTAAAACTGTTTGCTCCATCGAGTGTCTCTCCTGCCGGGCTATAGCCAACATGCTGGGACAACGGACACCATGTTTTTTACACAAATAAAAGAATAACTTAATATCTAACATTTTCCAAATATAAATAAAGGTCCAAATAATCAAGAATTTGTCATAGACGGCATTTCACAAACTTGATAAAGTTTATCCTCTCTCAGCCACTCTCAAAATGGATTTTTAAGGGAGTCTGAGGATATTGCGGTTACTAGTTAAGTGGTGAATTAAGTTGAAACAGACAATTTGATTGAATCTCAATGCATCTCCAATGTGTCTTGGGTGCATTCACACTTGTACTAGTGCTGTCCACTTGTAAGGGTCACTTCAGGGTCACTGAAGACACGTTATACAATATCAGGTCTAAACACAACCTATGATACCAGAAAATCAGCTTTCTGCAGGTTACTCTAATGCCCTACCCTCATTATAGAGCCCGAGTTTCTTGTTTACATGATGATTAATCAATCAGATTACTACAGAAAGACAACAGTAACCCTGTTACTGAAGTGTATGCACAGTAAACACATTGCATGAAAGCAAAAAGTAATCTGTACTCAAGGACTAAATCAACTTACTCAGTTAGCTACCTGATATTCATATACTGTTGTGTAGTTTTCATCCGCAGCCTGCGTATTTCCTACATTCAGTTCCTCTTTATAGAGACACTTCACAGACCAGTCAGACCTCAGTGACACAGGTTAACTGGTTTCACAAGAGGAAGTGAGCACCGCAGCTATGTTTAAGATGTCTAGTATGGCTCACATGAAAGAAGAAATTGGAAAACATGTTCTGTATCTTCTGATCTATATTATAAATCTGGCCGTGGGCTTTGTTTGTTATAATTAGCGAGATGGCAGTATAGATCAAGAATAGCACTGTTTAAAAACACTTCAACTGTGTGTAATTGTCTTGGTTTCTCTCCCTCAAAGTGGCAAAACACTCCAGAACAAACCTGGCTGATGTGGCCTTGGCGGGTCTCGCCAGCAAGGAGAACTTCCGCAAGGTCAACCTGCGCAATGTGAAGTCCACCGATGTTGTCACCAACAACAGTGCGCTGCCTTTCAACAAGCTCATGCTCATTCGCATTAAAGGTCAGAAACAAAAGAGATTGTAGAGTGTGTCTGTTTCGAATACAAATGCAGGTCTGATTTATGGTGATCTATCACCCGTAACGATTTTTAATAAAGAGCAAATTACACAACAGTTTGAAACTGCTACTAACTACTGCAAATTTCTCAAGTGTGTTTCTTGTGTAATTTTTTAAGATTGTTAATTTAATGTACCATGAAGAATATTTAATTACAGATTTATATCGGTGATTTATGTTTCAAATTAAGACTATGGTTTGCTTTATCTGTAGGTCGGAGGCATGTGCAAGTGCGCTTGATGGAGCCAACAGCCCGCTCTCTAAACAGCGGCGACTGCTTCCTTCTCATAACGCCAAAACACTGCTTCATGTGGAGCGGCGAGTTTGCCAACGTTATTGAGAAAGCCAAGGTAGAGACCCTCTCCCACATAATGAAAACCCTCAAGAACGCTTCAGAACCAGTTTTAAATCTTTAGACAGGTGATAACGTTTCCACTCAAATACAGTTGTGATATATACAATGTGCTTTGTGTGTGACCAGGCGTCAGAGATGGCGTCGTTTGTTCAGGCCAAGAGGGACCTTGGGTGTAAGGCCCCCCAGGTGACAGTGCTGGAGGAGGGCATCAACACTGACAGCAGATGGGCCAGAGAGTTCTGGAGCCTGCTGGGAGGACAGACCCAATACAGAGGTTCATACACTCATTATATATTCTGTCACAATATATATGCTTTTTAACTGAACCTGTTGAACCTCAGCATTTGAAGGATTGTCTGTCTAACCACCTACACATATGCTCACCCTGCTCTTTGTGCTTTGTGTGTGTGTTTGTGTTTGTGTGTTATAGGGGCAGGAGAGCCAGAGGAGGATGAGCTGTATGAGAGTGGTGTGTTAGACTCTAATGGTGTGTACAGACTCCAGGGAGACAAACTGGTGCCTCATGAAGATGCCTGGGCCTCCATCCCAAGTGTCTCCTTGCTCAACTCTAAAGAGGTAACACCACTGCTAGAGTAATGACCTCATATGCTGAAGTGTGGAAAACAAATTTGATCCATTTTACATCTGGAAAAGTCTAAGACACTGCATATAAAGTGTGATATAAAAGTTATAGATGTTCATAAAGCATCCATAATAGTCCTGACAGACATTGTTTCTGTTGTTTTGCATGTAACTGCAATAACATCATTTCTCTCACTTTCTCTCCTCCTTCCGCCTGCTGCCAATACCAGGTCTTAGTGTTTGATTTTGGCAGCGAAGTGTATGTCTGGCATGGAAAGGATGTCCCCTTGAGTGACAGAAAGGTTGCTGTGAAACTGGGCAAACAGCTCTACAGCGGCAGCTACGACTACAGCAACTGCAGAGTCAACCCTTTAGATTCCTCCTGCACGAATGAGGATGTGCCTCAGTAAGTATCACATCTAATTGTACCACCTTTTTTAGCAGTTAACACAATTGTATAAGTACTCTGTAGTGCACTTTTGGGGTTTTATTTTAAGCATTTTGGATGCCTGATTTTCACTTAATCAATGCACTTTTATGAGACATAAAGTGGGCCTGAATTGGCAGCAAAGTTTGTTAGATTCTGGTTATGTTATAGTAGCCCCTAGTGGTTTTATCTTGCCAGTACAGCTGCACAAAGGGAGACATTTTGAAATTATTTTCTCATTTTTCAGGCAGGGGGATGGTCGTCCGAGCTGGACTCTGTTTGGCCGGCTGTCAGAGCACAATGAGACGGCCCTGTTCAGAGAGAAGTTCCTGGACTGGGCTGAGAGGAAGAAGGAGGAAGCGGCTCTAGCCGAGGAAGTCAAGGTAGACCAGATTAGACTAAGCGTATTTCCATGTAATGTCTATATACATATAATATGTGAATCAGTGACAGCTTTCATAAATCTATTTTGCTTGTTTGTCCTTGTTTTGGGCTCCTGTTTGGTTCGTTCTTGATTTGGATATGTTCATTATTTCATATTTATTTGTGGCATGTTGATCTGTAGGTATCTGTTTTAAAGGAATTAAGTGGAAACACTGTTCTGCTATAGTGGTTTAATTCATGAAGATTGCAACTGAAGCAAAAAAAAGTAAATACTGACTAAACTGATTAAAATCGTCCTTTGTCTTCTCAGAGCCCAGTCCATTCCACTGAACGCTCCCCATTTGACTTGGAACTGCAGCCATGTGACGCCAAGGCGCTGCTGGACAACGAGCCGGAGCCGGTGAAAACCCTTCTCGAGGGGGTGAACGTCCAGCGGGGCCATGGCCTAGTGAGGGCGGACGATGGAAGACAGGCAGAGCTGGCGACAGTAGCTGTAGATGCCTGGCACATCAAGGAGCACAGCGAGGAGGAACTTCCTGAAGAGAGCCTGGGCCAACTACACCAGGGTGATGCCTACATCATCCGATGGAAGTACTCCATCACCACACTCGGTGAGTCATGTATTTGGCACAGAGGTAGCCCGAAACAGTGGACGTTTAAGTGTGAAGACCTGGAAGAAGATTAATGGCAGAAGGAATTAGTATCTGTCTGGCTTCACTTGATAGTTATGATGGAGTGCAACTGGAAATCAGGCATCCGGAAAGAGGAAGATTGATCTGTGGTTAACAAGGTTTGAAAGAAGAGAGGCTTTAGCGTTACACTTTATGGTTCTACAAAAGTAGAAGTCCTGATTTCATTCGCTGGGTTAATGTGGTTCTGTTCTGTTTTTGTCAGTGGGGAAGCGACAGAAACCTGGCGAGCTGAGTGCCGGCGCTCCTGGAAGAGAGAGGACTGCTTGTTTTTTCTGGCAAGGCCGTCACTCCAGCGTCAGTGAGAAAGGAACCTCGGCTCTAATGACAGTGGAGCTGGGTAGCCACAGGGGGTCACAAGTGAGTCATCAGTTCATCACATTCGCACAAAATCAATACGATGTACTTTTTAATGGTAAAGTTACTTTTTCTTCACCCATTCATGTATTAATTTATTAGCCAACAGTAATGGCTGTGTTCACATAGGATTTAATCAAAGTGTGTCTTTCTTTGTGTGTTTGTATCTGATTGTGCAGGTGTTGGTAAGCGAAGGAAAAGAGCCTCCATGCTTCCTCCAGCTCTTCCAGGGAGGCTTGATCATCCACAAGGGCAGTAGAGAAGACAGTGCCAATAACACAGGTAAGCAGAGACTTATTGGACAGTTGTACGAATGCTCAGCTATAGTTGAATACTGCGACACAAGGGTAGACTCATAATCACTACTGCCTTTTAATTTTTAATGTCAAACACTTCTAACCACGTCTGCTTCTCCTCTGCAGGTGGCTGGAGGATGTTCTGCGTCCGTGGCGAGGCAGAGGTGGAGGCCTCGCTGGTGGAGGTAGATTGCCAGCATGCCAGCCTGCGCTCTCGTTCCAGCCTGGTGCTTCTCAACGCTCAGAAAGGCCGCCTCTACTTGTGGCACGGCTGTAAAGCACACGCCAGTGCCAGGCAGGTGGCCAAAAGAGCTGCAGACAAAGTAACTCAGAGGTAAACGCATAAGGAAGATGGATGTATAAATGTGTAATGGATGGACATGTGCGCATAAACAAATGTGTGTGTCTCCAAGGTGTCCCTCAGAGTTAGGTCTGAGCAGTGGCAGCAACGTCAAAGTGGAGGAGGTGGAGGAAGGATCTGAACCCGCAGACTTCACGAAGGCTCTGGGCCTGCAGGACAAGAAGGCATACGACTGTATGCTGCAAGGTGTGTCCCCACATTCACACGCAACCTCCCAAATTATAAGCAGGAAAGAGACAGAGAAAGATCATGAATGACGTGAGATGTGTGTGTTGTGTCGCCTCCAGATCCAGGGAAGTACAACTACACCCCCCGGCTGTTCCGGCTGAGTGCCAGCTCCGGGGTGTTCGAAGGAGAGGAGCAGCTGTATCCAGCCAGGGTGACGGAGGGAGTAATGGCCATGCCCTTCCTGCAGGAGAACCTCTACTCTGCACAACAGCCAGGTACCACACACACACACACATACACACACATCTGTAGTACTGATACATTTCAGTGAATTATGTTTACTATTTGTCTTTTCTATGAAAATAAATATTACTCGTTTCTTTCTGGAATATAGATCAATGTAAAACTGCTTCTGATCTTAGAATAAGATTAAATAGCCAGCTGGAGATGATACTGGAATAGAAATGAAGCCATAAAATTTATTTATATACTGAAAAACATTTTTCTTTGCTAGGTTAGATGTCAGTGACTGTAGTTTAAGTCCCACTCTCCCATATTTTGAAGCTTTCCCCCTTGTGAGTCATTCATCAAAATCATTTTAGAAATCAGTTTGTTGTTTTGTTTTGTTTTGTTTTTTTCTTTTTTTTTAGAAGCATCCTTGATCTGAATGAGAGATATTTTTAATTAATTAAGTTCTTGGCAGATTTCTCATTTAGGTCACACAGAGAAGCACAACACAAAAACACTCCCACGTTGCTCCCTGAACCTAGCACTGATGAAAACTAAACAAAAAGGTGCTTTAAAAGAGTCTCAGTTCACAGGCTGTTGATGGATATGTTTCATTGTTGGGACTTAATGTGCAACGGTCTAGCCTTCTAGCCTTTTTGTCCTTTCTACATTCAAATGCTCTGAGTCTTATCTAACTCTCATGCTATTGCTTCTCCAGCCCTGTTCCTGCTGGATAACCGGATGGAGGTGTACCTGTGGCAGGGCTGGCAGCCTGAAGACACGCAGTGCACCGGCTCTGCAAAGATACGCTGGAACAACGAGAGGAAATGTGCCATGGAGACGGTGCTGCAGTACTGCAAAGGTCAGAGGTCACTGTAGCTCAATTATCTTTGATCTCGTAATTAATTATGTCCAGTAATTGATAAGGACTCTCACTTACTATCTTTCCAATAGGGAGCTATGGCAACTAAAAGGGAGGCCACACGCAGAATTATAATAAGAAAAGTAATTTGTTGAACCCTTTCTGATAATTAATAAACAAGGCTTTTGTGTTTTTCAACTACTGATCAGCCAAATACTTGCAGAAGTAAGTCCTAAATACTGCTATTGCTTGTGTGATGATTTACAGAGAAGAACCCGCGGCGCCCCCCTCTGGCCTATCTGGTCCTAGCAGGCTGTGAACCTCTCACCTTCACCAACATCTTTCCATACTGGGAGAAGGACGCCAGTATCGCTTCAAAGGTGGGATTACTATACAAGTCTGTGTTGTGTGTTAGGGCAGATGTCACAGCTTAGATAAGAGTAGCTAACTCCTGAAAGAATCCAAATCATCTCACTCAACCAGATCTGTTCAGATAAAGTGTCATTCCGCAGATACTGTATGTCTATTTAAAGCTGGCATGCAGAATCACGGTTTCTGTAAAGGAAGCAAGGAGTTGTTAAAAATAAGAGTGTAGAATACAAACTGCAGACAACAGTGCAACATAATTTCCTACAAGAATTATTGAATTGTATCTCTTATGTGAGATGTATAATTCCAGCTTAAACTAATAAAGCAATGGAAAGTACAGTATTTCAGTTTTGCAATTGTTTACCTACTCTACCTTACACATTTACACAGAGCTCCAAAAGCAAGGTGATGTTAGTGAAGGAGGAGTTGTCTAAGCTCAGTAAGCAGCAGTACTCCATCGAGGAGCTGACCAGGAAACCCCTTCCAGAGGGAGTGGACCCCCTACGCCTGGAGGATTACCTGTCTGACCAGGACTTCAAGGTAGGGCACTTTGCTACTCTCAAACAGGATCAGAAGACTCAATGTTGTAGGTAACGTTAGGTCATTAAAATGATGAATGAAGAGTGTAAGCTAAAGCAGATAAACCTTTACATGTCAAGGACAACTCATAAACAACTTTTAACTGAAAAAAAACAGCCATATGTAACATTTGTTGTCTTTAATGTTTGCAGACACTTCTCGAGATGAGTCGTGTTGAGTTCAACGCCCTGCCAAACTGGAAGCAAAAGAATCTGAAGAAAAGCAAGGGCCTGTTTTAAAACACATCACTTTGTACACAAATCTGTTTTTTTTTTTATATATGTTCTCAGCAGCTTTTCTTACACTTTTTTTATTACCAGAAAAAAATGATGTCCTCACTTTGTAAAGGATAAAGAAAAGCAAATGTACAATTTTGTTCAAACTTTCAAAACTGATCTATTTTTCATAACAGTGCCATTTTTAATGTGTCACTGAAATATTTTAGCCAACCATTATGTGCAATTGTTAAACTTTTTAATGAAATTTTCCTTGTATGGTTAAAAATAGTTACCCCCTCCATTATAAATATGTAATATACTATAAATGAATGGATGTGTTTTTTATGTTTACCCCAGATGGTGTCAATTTCCGTGCAAGTGTGTTTGTATAAAAATTGCCTGCGGTTTTAAAATTGAGGGAATTACTCTTCGATTTTTATATGTCATGGATAAACCCAGCTCTGTGTAATGGGATTAAATTGTTCAGCAAAAATGTCTCCACTTAGAGGTTGACAAAGAAAAGAAGCAAAACAAATCAAAGTTCAGAGTAAAAAATCCATGCAATTTGTGGTCGTTTGAAAGAAACGTGGCGGTCTTTTGTATTGGGGATTGTATTCTAGACATCTGACTCGGCTCGTGCTGTAATTGTAACAGCAAAAATGTTCAGTTTTTATCTTTTACTTTTGTATTGTAACAGATGTGTGTGCAGAGGTGGGTGTGACAAAGTGAACTTCAAAAGCCCAAAGAAAATTGAAGCGTGAAACTCAGATTTTAAAACCATTACATTCGTCACTGAAACTGACCCATAATATTTTTCAAGTTCGGTACTGAATACTTCCTGGTTCTTATGAACAACTGCCTGTGTACCAGTCACAGCAGCCCTCTGATCAACTGGTTGTTTGGGACCAAATCGGATCTTCTTTGTGTGTGTGTGTGTGTGTGTGTGTGTGTGTGTGTGTGTGTGTGTGTGTGTGTGTGTGTGTGTGTGTGTGTGTGTGTGTGTGTGTGTGTGTGTGTGTGTGTGTGTGTGTGTGTGTGTGTGTGTGTGTGTGTGTGTGTGTGTGACTTTAAAAAGTATTAAGCGTGTGTGGGGAATGTAAGAGAGACAGCGAGAGAGTAACTGTGCTGTATAAACTGCCTTTATAGCTGTAGCTGACGCCACAAATGTACTGCAAAAACGTGTGCGTGTTATGTGTTAAACATACTGTTAATATGACTGCCTGCGATGCCTGAATTACGAAGTTCCCTGCATGATGTCCACCAAAAAAAAAAGTTTTGCTTAACAGACGTGTATTAATTTGTTTTTGTTGTGATACTTAAGATCTGCCTTGTACGTGGAGACCAGCCTCCAGGCCAGACTTTATTTCATGGCACATAAAAGTAAAACGTTGGTGGTGGGGAAGATGAGCTATTAATGCTCAACTTTCCATTTTAAATAAAGTATTTTTAAAAATGTTTGGTTCTGAGCTTGTTTTAAACTGATGGACTCATTGTGGGAGCTTAAAGTGGAAGAATTACATTTACGATACCTAACTAACGTTAAATCAAGCGCAGCCATCATTGGTGTTATTAGCGACAGCTGTGTTGTCCTACTACAAGTCATATACAACATAGCACTTATTTGGAATAACTAGGCATTCATTCCTTTTATTGGTGTGTGTTGTTTTGGTCCTATTGGACAGATATATTTTTTTTAATAAAGTTTTTGTTTGCCACACATGACACTTTAAAGCCCATGATTGCCACACAAGCTCTTACAGTATTTACCATGTAATCATCTGCAGGAGATTGTGAGAAGGTAATTGGTATGGTACAGCCATTTAAAGATGACAAAATGCCGCACAGTCTGTGAACTCTTAAAAGCGGAACAGTAAAACAACATTACAGAGCCACTAGTTTTCCAAACGTCCTCACAGGCCGCTTTATGGCAGCCATTTGGACTTGTCATAGCAGGAAAAGCACAGGTGGAACTAATAACATTAACGATGGCTCCGTTTCATTTAGGGGGTCTCTGCCAGTTGAGCCAGCGGGCGCAATACCAGAGCTCTGGAACTGGTCCATCCAGACTGAATACAGCCAGTATTCATTTTAGTAGTAACATCTGCTGTTTTTCTATAACTTTATTTGATTAGATGCTTTGAATCTGTCACGTTAGAAACCCCTTTCATTCAACGTTCAGGAACCTTGTGATCAGTAGGGTCATTGGAGCCTTAGCCAGCATTGTGCAAATACTGAGCCCCCCCGAATTGTTGAACTAGTCAAATACAGTTAGTATAATACTATAAAATAATCAAATCAGCCTAAAAGAAACAATGTGTTAGAGTGGGTGAAAAGTAACAGTCAGTTCATATTTAACCACCAGGGTGCGCCATCTCTCCAACCTTTCCATTAAAAGCTTTCCCTTTAAATCTGTGCAACCTTTTGGGCCATACATAATCAATAAGTGATGAGTAGAAAATGAAACATTTAAAACAAACAAAAACAAACTAAAGCAGCTCTTTTTAATAATGTTTGTCTTTGTGGGCTGGTAGGAAATGTCTCGAACATCCTGTCGAAGCCGTTTATGAATAACCATTATGTCCTGCCTGACTCATGCATTTCAGTAGCTGCTTTAAAACAACGCCTGCTTTTGGCTGGGATGCATCACATCTGTGCGTCACACGCCCAGGGTCACTGCAACACTGTAAACACACACAGATCAGTGCATCACGTAAAGGACACACTTATTAAAAGATTAACTATCTCTGCAGCTCTTCCCTATAGATCCTCCCTGTCACATTCATGCCAACAACCATACAGCTGCAACGTTATTTCCACAACAGATGGCAGGAGGCAGACGCTTGCTTCCTCCAACAGCAAATGGGCGGCTGGTTTGTTTATTTATTATCAGTTCTGTCCTGCGAGCATTAATCACCTGCATCGCTCTGCCTTCTGGCTCAGGTGCCACAGCAGCCCACAATGCGGCTGACATGCAGGCAAACAATGAAGCTTCTAATACAAGATTAGCTTGAGTAATAACAAGCTGGATATGAGATGATGGAGCTGAAATGGCAGCTTCGGAAGGGAAAAAGGGGTCTAGAGCTTTGATCAGGCTCCAGATTTTGCTTGAGCGAGAGTCTGGTGCTAAACTCAGCCTGAACTTGTGCTTAAGCAATATTTTATGATTTAACCTAATTAAAACCTACATTTTCTCATAAAAGTGGTACAGAACATTGTCCATAGTGTTTTATGTTTTGCTCCGCTTTCCATATTGATAAATGCAACTAAACAGGATTATAAGAATAAGTTATAGGCTGCATTTTCCAAATAAAGTGGCTCATGTACATTGCTTCTTCTAAGTTTTATCGAATAGCTTTTACACCACTCTCCTGTCTGAACAGTCAATCTGAAAACAGCTGGTTAGCTTAGCTTCACACAGACTGGAAACATCTAATTCTCTGCAATAAAGTGAATATTTTCCAAAATGTAAAACCGTTTCAAATGTTGCTGATATACACAACCATTACAACATGGCTACAACTAAGTTGGACTTTTCTGCTTATTCTTAAATTTTATCTCAGCATTTTCTTCAACTTTGCCAAAACTTGTCATCGCCAGAGCGTTCTTTGTGCCGATTTCAAAACTTTAAAAAGAAATCCATTTTCTGTCTGTCTGTCTTAACCTTTTATGCCAAAAGATGTGATAAAACTCATAATTGCTGAGTAGAAAAACATCAAGAAAACAGCAGGATGACTACATAAATGGCACATCCAAGTGAGACATGTTAGGAGAATTGATTGCCTCATTCAATTCTCATTTGCACTATATGTGTACCACATGCTTTTTTATGCCCCTGTCTCTCACTATAAGATTACATCTTTATTAGCTGGAGCAGCAGAGATGAACCCCTGGCTTGGAGGAGGACAAGTGAGTCCTTCAGATTCTCATAACTCACAAAGCAATACTGGCTTCCCCACTTCAAAAAATAAATAAATAAAAACCCAGCAAAACTCTTGTTTTTATGTGGGAAATTTAAGGCCTTGAAAAATTCATGCTTCACTCTCAGTGCAGCAGCCAATATTGAACCGAAACAAACTTGCAATAACCTTGGATGCCTGCGTATTTGTGTTTGTGTGTCTCTATCTGTGTGTCTCCCTCTATTGTGTGTGCACCGAGGAGTATCACTGGGAATAAAGGTGATAATGTTGCTAATCAATGTTGCTCTCTGGCTTCCCTCCCAGCAGCGCACTGGCTCTGGATTCCTGCTGCTGAGACGAACTCGCCAAGTTCTCCCAGACTTAAGAGCTACAGCGGGATTACCTCTCTACAATATGTGCACTGTAGTTTTATATCTTCATTGTTTTTGCCTTAAAGGAGCCACTTAATGTAACAATTCCTGTATGAGTTTTCTTTCGTGTGACAGAGGAATCTCAACTCAAAGGTCCACACACATGCTTTTTCAGAGCACACAACTGCTCTCCATAGCTGTGTCCCAAATCAATACCACATACTGATTCTGTACAGTATGAATGTGTAGCATACCGAAATATCAACATACTTTATCATTTATACTAGGAAGGGAATGTGCACAGTGCGTCAAATGTCAATCAAACTGCAACCTTGAAATGTCACTGTTGGTTAAACTTAATAGAAATCAAAATGTATCCCTTTTGTGCATTGCATTATGGGACAATAGCCGTATTTAGTCTGCATTCTGTCTGTATGTATGCTAGCTAGTACGTGGTCCTTTGAGTTCAGATCATTTTGTCACACACACTGTTACCAGTGACACTAATTAAGGTCAAACAGAGTCAGGGTCCTGCAGTAGTCCATCATGGCTCACTGGAAAGGTCTTCTGCCACGCTACTTGAAACAGATTAATTAGTATCTAACGCCTGCGTTTACCCAACTGTTTCATGTCCAAAATGGCTGATGTGAAAAAGGCCTATTCAAACAGCCTGCCAGTGTGCATCCTCCCACCCTCCAAATGAGATGGAGGATTTACCAAAACGAATGGTGCGTTCAGGCTGTCCTCGACAGCTTGATAATTTGATGTGGGTGCAGACTGGTCCGTCAGCATAACCTTGTATTTCAAAAAAGTTCATTTTTAAAAGCTTCATGTCAATACTTCTTTTTTTTTCTTTTTTTAAACTGTGGAACCATTTTGAGTTTGTTTTTATGTATTTAGTTCTTCAAATTATTTCATTTACTACATGCAACAAGTAACACCTTTAAAAATAGTTTTGCACATCATGGAGAACTGAAATATTGACTAAATAAATTACAACCGACCAATAGAGAGCTGGTTTCTTCTCAATTTACTCTCACCAAAATCAGGACTGACACACTGCTTACTCACATTATTTTGAGTTTATCCACTTTTTCCTCCTAAGTTTGCAACGGATACTCCACTTTTTTATTTATCTGACTCTGACTCTCTCCTGTACTTGATTCCTAATGCACAAAGATGGAAACAGTTTTTGGCAGGCCTTTTGACTAGTGACAGCTGTTACTAACTAACATTACTGATGGCTCTGTTTTGTTCAAGTGTCCCAGTCAGCCATGACAGTGAGCCAGAGGCAGCTGAATGGAATACAGCCATTCATTTTATTATTGACGTCTATGTTTCAACTATGACATATCATAAAATCTTCTGTGAAAAAGGCCAATAAAGTAAGAAACAAAACATTTAAAGACCCTTTTTTTTTTTTTACCTAGAATCTTAAGAGTATTTTATCTTCTTGTGAGGGAAATTAAATGGAAAAAAGAAATAGGATCAAACAAGCAAACACTTGCACAGCACATATGTTTTGTATTTGGGGAGATGCTCCCACTGAGCCAACTGCCGAAGTGAGCATTTATATTGTCTGATGTGTAATGTCAGCGGGTATTTCCAGGCAGCAGATGGTGACAGTTTGCCTACTTAACTTCAGCACAACACACTCAGACACACACTCACGCACACACACACGCGTGGTCACACATCCCTGACTATACAAACTTCCACCACGCGGAAAGAAAACAAACAAATTCATACCCTTCCCATTCCTAAGCCACTACGAAAGCAGGTACTGTACGCCGCTTGCGTGCATATACCTCTCTCACACACACACACACACACAAATATACAGTGACAAAAACCCTGAATCGACCATGACATCAGTCCTGTTTCCTGCGGATGAGAGAGGAACTGCGGATGACAGATTGATTGAAAGATCCTCCTCCCTCTCTCATCCATCATTTCAGCCTGTTTATCATCTTCTTGCTGTTCAATCCATCTGCTGGAAAGAGAGAGAAAACCATTTAGGCCAGCCCTGACCATCAAGTCACCCAGAGGAGTTTTATACAACACAGCTGGGGCTCTGGCATACCCTTACATAGAGCAGGAGGCCCACCATTTCTTTGGCTTCGATTGATAAAATTTTTTTGTTGACCTTGTTTTTCCGAATATCCAGGCAGCAGACCTTTTCCTCCTC